TAGTTTTTATAGTATAGTATAGTATAGTGTGTTTTTAGAAAATTACATAATCTAGTTTTTAAGCTTATAATAAGCTAGATAGACCTACTTTTTTATGTGAGCGAATTGGTTATAATATTAGCTAGTTTATGTATTTATTATTATAATTCAGGTATTTTATTAGATTTATTATTAATTATTTAAGCTTTTTTAAAAATTGAAAATGTAGTTTTCTTGTCAATGCTCTGCGGGTAAGCAACCCACACGGGTACCCGTGGACCTTTTACACCCTACAGTAAACCATACTCCACTCAGAAATGAAGCTCGGGGTACTATCTGATAGACTCCGCTCGTCTTTTCAGCCATCCCGGCTCTTGTCCATATCTGGAAACGCAGCCAATAATAGTGTATAGCCTGGCGCTGGCTTTGCAGTACTAGTTTGAGGCTCACTTTCTGTTGCCAATCAAGCCAGCTATTCGCTTCCCACCTTTTCCCTGTCTGGTGCAATAGCTCCGGCGCCTCGCTTTGGGGCTCTCTAGCGTTGTCACGTCGGCTAGTTTAGCGGTGTGACAAACATGTCTTTTGAGTAGCTCGGTGCTTCGTTATCGCACCTACTGCTACTTGCTACTGAAGACTGCCCCTGAGCATGTGGCCAAGAACTGCCAATGCAATACAGGTTCATCATTGCGAAAGCTCACGAACTCTAGTGCGCCACGCTATCTGTGGCCGCAATACGACCGCAGGATGGGGGTTCAAAGCCAATGGATGATCCAGCCTTGGACCTGCGACCTCTCCAAACAACACATCCACAACCATTCTGTAAGAGAGCTGGATTAGACTTTCAGGTCTCCTGCTAACTTACATGGTCATCGAGTGAATGACTGACTGTTCGAAGAGCTGTCACACTGAACACAATGCTAGAATCCAGTTCACAACATGTCGCCCCTCACCTGCTGGATGCATTTCCCTTTAGCCGACGAGGAGGTGATGAAACCTGATCAGAGAACTAGTGGTCGTGACTGGTTTGCGTTTCAGGCTTCATCATGGCATGTATTTTCCTTGGCCCGGTCTGACATCAGCGTAAACAAAACACGCATGGGCAAAAGTTTGTCAGCATGCGTTGTAAATCTTGTTCCTTTGCAATGGAGAAGATGAAAATCCCCCAGACGCCCCCGTTGGAGATTTATATTTGGCATCAAAAGGGGGCTTAAGGCTGGTGGGATTCAGTGTCGTCATCCTATTCCGTTCCAAAGAGCCTGAGCTTGTGGCACCCGTCATCTGTTGCAGCACTGAAACATAGCATCCTTCATCTATATTGTACATACCTACTCCGTGGGCCCCTGCCTGTAACCATGTCAGCGTGTGCTTTTTCATGCTAATGCTAGTAAGACAGACGCCGGCATGACTAAACACTGTAAATCGGCAGCTCCGCTGTTTCAAAAGCCGATATGCTATTACTTTATCGAGCGCAGCCGACATGCAGGCTCGGAGGAGACATAATGTTCGCCTGTCGCCTGGGCATACACTCGATGCCACCCGTATATTTACTGTATAGCGCGCGGTAACTGTCCAGTCTGGTCAGATACCCCTTTCCCCATGCCTCCCCGCTCCTAGGACGCTGACTTACATGTATCTAGTTGGAAATGTACTCAGCAGGCAAGGGCAAATCGAAGCAGAGCTTGCGCAATTCAAATCTCTCGGCTCTGTAGCCACAATAGTAAGCGCGTATAAGGACCGAACATCACGGTGCGTCGACATTCGCAGGTTCTATCATCATTCATTCACTCGCCTATGCCCTGCGCGTCAAAATGCTGGTCGGCTCACTACCAACATCAAACAGCGGATGGCCAACTACTGGAAAACACGGACAAATGCAAGCCTCCCATGGAACGTCTCAGTAATGATACAAACAGGCTACCGGCACAGCGGCCCTTTGACTCGGCAACCATACGTTGACAACAGTTGTCAACGTCTGTTTTTGGAAAACTTGCAAAACTTGAAACCTTTCGGGAAATAGTGGAGATGCATCTTGTCGTTCCCGTGGTTCTCTGTGGTCTGTGGTCTGCGGTCTGCGGTCTGCAACGGCCAACGGCACGGATGATGCCAGTACCCGGCTGCTGGGTCTGATGTGCCTTAAACGGTCGTGGCACAACCCCCTACCTGCTTGTGCAACAAGGATACTCCGGGGAAGGCCAAACACAGGGATGGATTCGTGGAGTACTCTGTGACTAAATGGTGCCAAGCGTCCATCCAAATCAGACTCGGAAAAGTACCATCTCCCTGGGTTTTATCGGAATAGGTTTGCTAGGTAGGTAAGTATGTTGCTAGCGCTGACAACTTACGACTCAGGGGGACTTATGCCCTGAAAGTGCCCAGTTGCAAGAACTTTCATCGACACATTCAGACTCTGCATACCCCAGCGCGTATCAGGAGTGCTCGACGACAAGGCGAAACACCTCATGCTCCCTGCTCATAGTGCTTCATGCGATAATGCCTCATCAACGACAGTGACGCCCCACAGCCAACGGTAATGGACCTGATGTCAACTTTGGGCGCCAACAGCATGGACGACCTGAGATTCAGGTGATTGCACCCAAGATGTTGGGGTTCCCTTGGGCGCCCAGTGGTCACTCGAGTCAATCTCAATAAACCCGAGGTCGTCTGTTTCCGGCAGATAGATGCTGCTGGAAGCATGGTTGTTGCTGGGGCTGGGCTCGATCGGATCGGGCTGCATAACAATGAACAAATAGCCTTCCATCCCCTCACCAAGGAACCCAATCAATCGCCTCATTAAACAAAAGGAGAATTATACTCGCGATATCCCAGGCAGTCAGGCACCAGGGTCTGTGTGGCCATGGCGAGTCGACTCATATTCTAGAAGCCATGCGCCTACCATGAGTGGCTGATCTACGCAATATTCTCCACCGAGCCATGCGCGGAATCCTGATATTTCCCTCTTTTGCCTTTTTTGCTGGGCCACAGCCGGGACCAACTATTACGTCGTGCCCAACGTCATAGGACCATTGGGCTCCCAGCCACGCATTTTTGGGCGCCAGGCTCCGATGCCGTCAAGTGCTTCAGCACTCTTCAGCACCCCTCAGCGCTGCGTTGCGTAGTGTTGCGTGGTCATGGTTGTAAGTGCCTGTACGTACGTACGGAAGTAGTAGTTACATATAGATAGAAACGTGGTCCTTGCCCACATGATGCATCTTGGTTGCTGCGCCCATTCGTCCTGCCCTCGCGTCTTCTGCATCTTGTGCATATATTACTCGTGCTGGTCCCTCTTGACAGGAGGCTTTTCCATCTGATCTGCCACTGCATTGCGAAGCTCTACTTGAGCCCCCCGTCCTAAGCCTCTTCGACCTCAAACATCGCCGGGCCTCATCCGCCGCGATCGAAATGGGTATGCCGCAACCATATCCCCATCCGCCACGCCCTCGTGGCCATCGCCGCCACCAAAGCTAACCGTCTCCCAGGTCGCGACCGCGGCACCAAGAAGCGTCTGTACCTCTCCCGACCCGAGCCAGACATCCTCACCTCTCGCCGCCGCGTCACGCGAATCATCCCACCTACCCCTCCGCCGTGCGAAGAGCCCATTCCCGCGCCCGTCGTTGAGGAGCCTGCTGAGCCTGAGCCATGCCCGCCCGAGCCCTGCCCATCTCCACCCGCTCTTCCTGAGCCTGAGCCGCAAATTGAAGTCATAGCCGTTGACGTCGAACCGTCTGTGAAATCGTCAAAGTCCAGTCGCAGCCGCTCCAGGAGCCACAGCCACAGCCGCGAGAAGGAGGTGTACGTTGAGCGAGATCGCTTCGTCCCCGTGCCTGTGCCCGTTCCTGTGGAGCCCAGGTACGAAACGTACCGCTACGTGGAGGCGCCGAGGAGATACGTCGAGCCTCCCAGGGAGAGGAAGATGATTGAGGACAATAAGGAAAGAGTGACGCATGTCCACGTGCATACGGAGGATAGGGAGACGAGTCGTGAGAGGAGGGCCTATCGCGACAGGGATCGCCATGACAGAGAGTACTATGACTCGAGGGATTATTATCGGCGGTAAAAGGTCTATGGGAGGCGACGGCTGGGTTAATGATTATGAAATCTAATGCTGTCTACAGTGTGTAGGAATTTGGATCAAAGCTGGAATTTTGGATTCACTGGGGCGAGAGGGTCTGGATTTAACTTTGACATGATGAACAAGTTTTTGATCCCGTTTAGATGCATGTACAGTTTGTGGCAGAATATCTTTGTCTAGCAAGAAGTATACCCTCATATACTATGGTATATTGTAGCATATAGCACGATAGCCAGGTACCTGATCTGGTCAAATACTTTTAGACCCCCACTGTGCAATTGCAACATGGATGTCTTGCCTCCCGGCAAGCTGTGAGAACGAGAAGGACCTTTAATATCGAATAACCGACTGCGGACGTCTTTTCGGGCGTCGCACGACGGGCACGCTCTGCTCGGCCATGTATGCAATCGGGCGCGGCAAACGGTCATCCGCCATTCGTGCCTCGGGATAGTCCACCTCCGGCTTGGTTGGAGGTCGATCGACAACAAATGCCGCGGCATCCGTCCTCTGAGGCGCCACGCCAGGGACATGTCTGGTGTTTGATACGCGGCCCGTCCGCCTGCCAGACAGCCACCCGAGGACATTGCCCAGTTCGCCCATCCACCACAGGCCAATGACAATGATGAGCAGCGTGACCGGGACGGCAACGGCCCAGTACAGCCACTGGCCTGAATCCATGTCGCGGATATCGCTGGTGTTCATGCCAAAGATGCTCGAGATGGCACTGAGCGGGAGGAACACGACGGTGACGATTGTGAATGCGTAGATGGCGTTTTCCTGTCGATCCTTTGTCCAGTCCAGGCCGTACACCACGGCACGCTCCAGGTCGTCTGCGTAGTCGGTGTGGCGGCGGAGGTCGAACTCGCGCTGTTCAACAAGCCGAATGCATTCGTTGAGGAATAAAGCGCGGAACCCGAGCTCATCTGTAGCCGACAGTTTTGAAGCGGCTTCGAGGTCCGCTGCATCTTCGTCGTCCAACCTCATGTACTCGGCGTCACGCCGTCTCACCAGAGGGTCGTACGGCAGCGGACCAGGGTAATAAGGCGGTGCGTCCTCGTACATGTCCCTGGCTCGTCTGCGGCGCCAAGCTGCGTCGTCGGCTGCGTCTGTGAGATACCTGCCGCCGTCTTTGGTGGAGAGGTTTGACTTCATGCTGGCCAGAATATATCTTTGCTTCGCCACTGTCCTTTTGATGACTGTCATTTCTTGTTGGACCAAATCGATCCGGTGCTGATAAGATCGGTCGGACGGCTGGCTGGTGATCTCGGCATCCTACCAAAAATAGAAAAGGTCAGCACGGATCCAATCTCTGCAAAGAGTCCAGGCTGCCCTTACCAGCAACGTCAGGTACTGCGCGTAGGTATCCATGATGTCTTCTGATTTACCCACTTGGTCATGCAACAAGTTTAGTGAAAATAGCGAAAGGACTTCCAAGGGTAGCACGGCAGAATCGTCGAGGATGTTTCGGCTCGAAATGCTCTGAACAATACGGTTCATGCCGGCCATCATCAGCACTTTAGCCTTGGACACGTGCCCAAGCCATGCATTTCCTCTATCAGAAGCACTGATCAAGCCCGACACAATGTGAAGCCAGGCCGTGATGAACTGCCGGGGGAGGTCGATGGTGGCCCTTTCCTTCTCATCAGCATAAGACATTAGATTCTGGAAGTTTTCAACATTTTGAGACATGTCTCTCAAGGTTGTCCTAATGTCTGTCGTAATATTTTGGCTTGCAGACACGGATGAGACTGTGAATTCGCCCTCCAGCTGAGGTATCTGATTTAGGTAGTTGTCATTAGCAACATGATTGCGGCTAGTTTAGCTTACCGTGGCCCGAGTATCATACCTTGAGAAGAGACTTGAGAGCCCCCCAATACTTGTGTATCGTTGGCCCATCAAACGTCGAAGGGAAGAACAGCTTGTGAATATCATCCGCAGCATTGAAGATATCGATTCTCTCCTCATGCATGAGTCTTATATTGTCATTTGCAGTTTCTTCCACCTGGGACGATTGTTTCGTCAGTAAATCATGCACACTTTCCCTTGTCGCATCTCCGCAGTTTTTGTACGCTCGCTGATCTGCGTACGATATTTGGCCTGTCAGAAACCTCTCGGCCAAGCCCAATTGTTCATTTAAGACTTCTACTGGCTGGAGAGTGAGTACGTGTAGATATTCATGTGGTTTCTTGCATGGTTTTGAGTGCTCGTCTCCTGCATCACCAGGTACTAGGGGCTTCAAAACGGTTCGCGGAGGAGAAGGCGGTGATCTACGTCATATTAGTCAAAATTCAGAGACTATTAGTATTAGAGGTTGTTAAAGTCATCGCGGTGAAATTCTCACACTATCTTCATCTTCAACACGACACCTCCCTGAGGGCGAGCTGCGAGTCGTAAAACTTTGGACCAGTTTACCGCCGTCACTGCTTGGTTGTTATACGTAAACTCCAAGTTTCTTGGCCAAAAGGCGTGGAAGTTGGATAAGAACATCTACCCCAGGTTAGTGACCAAAAAAGGAAAAGAAAAGAAAAGAAAAAGAAAAACAGAGAGAAATAGGACGTCTCTCGACAGCACTCACAAACCAAGTAGAACATGCCACAGCTGGAAAAGACCAAGTAACAGCGTTTCCGTACTTGACAAGAATCCTTCCAGGCGTAGAGCCAGCAGTCTCTGGGGACGGCTGAGACTTGACGTCGACCAACTCTCCACGAAGGTCGAGCTCGGACATGGTACCGCAAGTTACGAGGAGCGCTGTCCACTGGTCAGCCACAGGGTAGACTTGTATCACTCAGGGGGTATTTCATGCAGTTGTCTAAAACTATACACCAGAGCTGCGCAATGTGAAAGCAGTCATTCGTTTTGGTGGAGGCCACTTGACAAACAGCTTGTAGCATGTCCCTCTGTTCCGTTGTGCGAGAGTACTGTGCCTGCAGTAGCGTCTGCGAGGGAAACACAGACGTAGTTGAGCCCGCAAGCAAGCCCGAGTACTTTTGCAGAGAGAAGTACGGGAGGCAGATCCATCTCGCAGAGCCGGTTGGCTTCTCCTGTCTTGAAAGCTGCTTCGTGAAGGACTTTAGAGGGACTTCAAGATAGCGAGGTTCCATATGCCCAACCCTTGCTCCTTTGGGGTTTTGTCGTGTCTTAATACAGTTCTTTTTCACATCTGCTCTGAGCTTTGCCATGGCACTTCTTTCGAGCTCTGGGAAATGAATTTGACGCGATATTTCGGCCTGCATGACTGTCAGACAGAAAGTGCATTACGCATGGAGAGCATCCACGTTTCAACTACCCAAAAATCGTCAAAGTTCATGACTTCTTGGTGGATATGGCTGCCATGCTGTCAGCAACAGTTCTGGACCTCTTTGCTAGGCTCGTTAGTTGCTACTCACAGCCACTTAAACAGTGATCTTTTCTTCCCTTTTGTGTCGAACAGCTCGGTCAGTTTGGCTGCATGGACGCCTCCAGGTTCCGCGCTGCCGAGGTAGTGTGAAGAATAAATCCTCTTGGCATTTGATACTATAGAAATATCGCGATCCTCTCTATGTGCAGAGTCAGAGTCCACGGCTGGGGATTCCAGATCCGACAGTTCGTCGTCCTTGGAAGCCGACTTGGGGAACAAGAAATTGAATTCGTCATAGGCGTCCAAATCTCCGCCCATGGGGCTCGGTGGACGAAAGCCTCTATCAGCCTGTCCCTCGTCAACAATGTAGACTTGTGCATCTCCAGACTTGTAGGCGTGGACCGTGGGGCCATCATTGGCATCATAGTGCTGCACCCTCGATGGAGAATGACTTCGATTAGAAGCCTGGTCCGTATCTCTCCTAGTATTTCGTGGCCACGAATAGACGTCATCTCCTTCTCTGCTGTCCATCCGTGGGGGAGACTGCGAGTATCTCGCCATTCCCGGTGGCGGTGGAACCTCAGCTGTCTCGGCATCACGATGCCTCAGCCGCCTCCCTGAGGGAGCAGGAGGACCAAAAACTGTCTGCTGCGAAAGCTCTCCATGGTGTGACGGCATGCGGCGCTCGAGATGTGTCCATGGCGGCAAGTTAGATGCGGGCACTCTTTCTGGGACATATTCATCACCAGAGTATTGGCCACGACGTCTTGACGCCGTTGGAGCACTGTATAGATATCTCCGAGGAAGATCAGGCTGTAGGTAAGAAATATCAGCCAATTGTCAGCCGCAAACCAAGGGCAAAACACACGGCATAGGTTTCTCGGTCGTCTTGGTAGAAGCGAACCCGTGGCCGACGCGAGCTGCCTTCAGCAGAAGCGTAATAGGCCATTACAGCAGTGCACAGGAACAACAATTCCTGGAGTTGGTATCAAACTAAGAAGACAGGCCAAATCATGCAGGTACGAAGCGAAAATATCTATCTTGTTCCCGGGGACCGAAAAAAAAGTTATGTATGAGCTAATCTGACCATGCATCGTCAGGGGTCTGGCCTGCAGCTGCATGGGGCCCGGCCTACCCTACATGGGTCGAAATGATTGAGAGGATGGAACCGCGCTTCAGGCAAAGCTTCATCAATTTGCCGTAAAAGACAAATCACACCCGCTGTCAAGACAGTCTCTACGAGGCTGACAATCATTGCAGTCTAGGCTTACAGACTCATTAGCTGACTTTCAGTTGCGCGCAGCAAAGCGCTATGCCTACAGTTTCACACTTTTTAGCCAACTTGTGGTTAGCACGGCTGAATGGATAGAGGTTTTGAGGGTTTGAGGGTTTAGGGATTCTTAAGTTGGCAATTCGAAGGTGATTTGTGTCCCTTTGTATATTGCCCCAGGACCACCTTCCTAAGCATTCATAGAAGTCGATGTCAGCAACGCACGGTTCCACGCCAGACACGACGACGCAATACCGAGATTACACTACCGCTACTTCATATTAGTATGTACCAACACCAAGTCCCGGCAAAAAATGGCCTTGGGTTGTCCCCCACGCCCATGGCAGCGTCCCTCCTCATACCTCTTCCATCTTCGACATGAGTGGAAATCTACGGAGCAATGCCACCCCTGTGCTCAACTGGGCATTCACAGATATCGCGAAGGAGGATTCACTCGGTAGCGTTGACTGGGAGGCTCTTGTAGGATATGCCAATGTCACCAGGCAGAAGCGTGAAAAGAGCGAGACTCCATGTACCTGCCAGTTCTCCGTTGAATACAATAAGGGCGGTAGAAACCTAGTTTAACGTCTCGACTTTAAGGACGGCGCTTATTAGCTCGTACGAATCCAGGTAAATAACTAATACTAGAGTCAGTCTAACGCCTAGAGCAAGAAGTCTATACGATGTTCGTGGTTTAAGAGCGGTTAGAGATTCCTGTCCTTGAAGTGTATGCTTACGAGGCCAACTATGATAACGTTATTGGTATCCCATTTATACTCATAGAGTTTTTACCTGGAGATATAATCATAGATTTATTTAGCGGCTATGATGTTCACAAGGGGAAGTTGCCTACGGCGTTTATACCGGAGTTTCATGCTATATTAGCAGACATTCAGGTGTGACATGACGCACCATCATTTCTTCGTGGAGCTATAGCCATCTGACCCTTTGGAATATAGGTATAAATGTCAGCTATACGCTTTCCCCGGATTGGAGGCATTGCTAAGGCTCCCGACGGGACGTATTGCGTAGGACCGCTCCCTGGAATCGGCGGCCCCTTCGACTTACCAGCGCAGTTTTTGGGAGCCTGGGCTGACCACATCAAGTTTCCGCTTTTTGAAAAGACCATCCGGGAACGAACACCCCCGGACTTGGTTGATGAGATACTGGAGTCAATCAGATCATTCCCGTCCAGACTCAAGCAGCTTGCAAAGGAATATAGCTTCCGGACAGACCACTCTACCAAGAAAGCGAAGACGGTTCGTAAGCAGTTGGCGGAGCGCGAGGATTATGTCAAGCTAGTTAAAGCGGCAGAGGTATCATTTGTCTGAAATGCTTGGAAACTTCACTGCCCAGTATTTTGCGCATGCTATGTGGCTGTATCATATCGATGGGAGGATTGGGTTTTGCAACAATGTCATCAATTCTTTGCAGACTACATAGAAACAGCCCCGTTCTCCTCCAATAGAAGCTTTGGCCCTCACAGGGAGGGCATTCAGGAGTCTTGGTCTCATCAAGATGCTGCGCTCGTGCCGCCCCATGAAGGCTATATTGGGCGCGGGCTGAATCACGTCTGCGGCAGTGTCCTTGGCATGATTTACGGCTGGGCAAGGAACGGCGAAAGTGCTCGGCTACCTACCTAGGTAGGTAGGTAGTTTAGGTACCTAGCTATCGCGTTATGTGCTATACTATTTTTTTTCTTTCAAGTTGATTTACAAAAATTGGAAAGGGCTAAACGTAGGTCATTTAGTGACACTGTATTTTGGCCGTACCTAGGCCAGGAACCGTAACTAACCACGTAATTCACTATAAACGTATCATGATACATTATAACATGCTAAAATATATTAAACTATAATATATTTATTTACTTATATACACTAGTTTAACCTTTACTATTAATATTTTTATATAGTAAAAAATATAATATAATATATTTATTAAAGCTTTGGAGATACGTCGTATAGCAGTTTACTCTCCAAGATTCGCGGTTTAATCTCCTAGGCTAACAGGCCAAATTAGATCTGTCCTGTTTAACATTCATTGCCAAGCGCCCGCTAATATTAATTATCTGGTAGAAGCCTAAACTTGTGGTCCCTGCGAATTGCATTTGTCAAGTTAACCAGTCTCTCCACAACTTCGTATCGCGGCGTGTCCAAGTACGCAAGTGTCACACGGTTACACGAGGGCTATGAATCTATGATCACGCGACCTGGGGCAACGGCGCTCACCGACTTCTTGTATCTACAGAGACCTTTCGTCCCTCAAGGACTTGGAAAACCAAGGACCTTTAATACCGAAGACTGTTATTAGATGAATAGAGCTATTGCTCCAAGCCCTCACAGAGCCCTTGTCACAGTAAGAGATTCATCGGGGATGGTCTTCAGCTTCTCGTATAACTTTCGCACAAATCACTCCAGATAAGCCTTCGCAAGTGTCCCAACTACACTTGGTCGCTCTATGCCCTGGAGATGGGCAATCCATTACATATTATGTGCCGAATGATATTTAGTCTCGGATTAAAGCTTTGATAAACCACACCACCGAACAGCTTCCCTCTATGAAGATATTATTTACTGGTCTATTGAGTAGACTGCAATAGAAACCGGCCAACTCTTACCTATTTGGGCGAACTCCGTCGTTGGTATTATTGTCGTACATCTACCCACCAAGTTATCAAGTCGGTAATGAGTGTAAGAAGGTAGAAGGCCGCGGATAGTAACCGTGCTAGCCCATCGCTAGTAGAGGAAGCGATGCGAGCAATTAACGCGAAGCTCCTGCGTCGTAAATTAGCGATGAGAGAGGAACGTACGTGCTTTGCGCCTTTGAGTAAATTTGCCTCCTTTAGGTTCGTGGGTGTTTTGGATAATTTCCCGGCAAGCACTTTTGCTGTCGCTGACGCGTAGTGTTTTGTACACGATACTTGGGCCGCCGAGTCCCAGTTAACTTCCGCGGACATAATTTTTGGTGCTGAGCCGGCGGTTCTTAATCTTCTTGATAAATCCAAGCAACGCGCCGATAAAGCCCAATAAAAGCTCGCTGAGGAATAAGCCCGGCGTAAGGACGAGTCCGACGATCAGATAGCGGACTTGATTGGGGACTGATAATAGTTGGCCTTACAAAAACACTCGTGAACACCTTTGATCTGGTCGGTTACGAATACTAAGAGTGGGTGAAGGTGACCCCAGATCCATGAAAATCTATTTCATACTTTTAAGACTTGGAATATATGAGGCCGTGCTAATTTTTGAAGTGTTTTGGCGACGATGATAACGACGACAGTAATAATAAGGAATCTATACTTGGATAATTCCTTGACAATATCATCTAGTTGGATCTCTGAGCCCTCCTGATCCGCGGCGATAGCCTGTTTTCGTTTAGGGTGTTTAGAGATCTAGACAGATGATATCACCTGTCTTGTATCGCCATATTGATCTGATATAATAAAAATCTCTGTCGATTTCGACGATGCAGCCAATAGCCGTTAAACTCAAGATTTAAACCTGGTGTAAGGTGCGTAACGTTTTGCAATCTCGCATTACGACGGTCTTCCGGTGTTTTGGGCCAACGTACTGTCTTTGTCACATTGAACTGAAATGTCTTGTCGCCTGCTTAGGACAGCAGCGTAATTCCTACGATCCCGCCGGGCAGCTTGCTGAGAGTGGGAGTTGAAGCTTCGTGGATGGAAGAGTGAACAGGTTAATAGTGAAATGAACTCGAATAACTCTCGACTATTACGTCATTTATATGCATGATTATGACCAAAAGGTAAGAAGAATGCGAAAGGTAAGAAGAGCGAGAAAGGTAGGAAGGGAGGATTTGCGTTGAAGAACCATCGTCGTTATCCACTAGGTATCTGCACTTGGATATAAACGTTGTATAAGGGGGTATAATGTTTTGTCCCGTACTTTGCGTTGAAGGTCAGAAGCAGAAGCAGGCTGGATTTGAGGTATATAGTCCCAAAATTTGATGCGCTTGACGGATCCAGGTCTTGTATTCATGCGTGCATCTCGGGCCATTTGTAGAAGCCCGTTGAGCCGCCAGTGAAAATGACGGCCATGCAGGGGTCGAGGTCGGCGGTGATTTCTCACCAGACTTCTTGGAGAACGGCATCTTGGCTTTGGGGGAGGAGTGGGATGAGAACGAATGTGTGATTGTTGGTACCCTCGCCAGCAGTATTCGATGCCAGAGCAAGATCCTTCCTTCTCGAGTCCGTGTCAAGCCACAGCCTTGTGGTGCTAGCGGACCAGTGGCAGCACTTGACGGTCAAGGCTTGTCAGTGCTCTTTAGCCCTGTTATTCCATTCGCCGAATGTGATTCTCGGTTGGTCTGCCATGTCGGCACATTCCACCATGGCGACCAGTTCTAGGAAACTTTCTCCTATCGAGCTCGTGGCTCTCTTCATGTGTGGGAATGTCTTCAGGCGCCATCAGCAACGGTGCCATTTTAAAAAATGCGTGTTCCAAGGCATCAACGGTCTCCCCGCCGTGCTGTCTATGATGTCATTGTCATGTATAAATCTGATTTTCGTGATGTATAAGGGGAGTGGAAGCAAGTTCAATATCGCGGGCGTGTTGCTAAGCGCAATTCTTGGCATTGAATGTTGAGTTTGACTCTTTTGGAGCTATTGAATTCGAATTTCCCGAGTAGTTGAATTCGGGGCTCACACAATAATTCTACCAGACTACCCCAATCCGCATCTCCGACCCCCAGTCAGCCATCCCAGGTCTTTCTTCACCGGCACAAATGAATCCTGCAAAGCTGGGACTTTTTTTTCTCAATGGAAACGTCATGGAATTAAGAACAAACGAAATCGAGGCGTTCATTGAGTAATGGGCTCTATTTTTACATGTGGTTACGATTGGCAAATCCCCCAGCGTCACCCATCGCTCCATCAAATACACCCCCCTCCTTGATCCCTCCACTCTAGAAAATATCAACTACAAAATTTGGTATAGACGGCACCATAATCCCCAACAACCCTCTTTCTATGTCGCTCAAAGAGATTGTTGATAAATACTTAGCCGAGGAAACTCTTGATGAAAGACTGAGTGACATCCTTGAGCTTAGCCTCAAGCTCCTTGCTGATGGCACCCTCCTTCTCAATTGTGTTGAGGAGCTCAGCCTCGTTGGCCTTGAGGTGGGCAAGGTAGTCAGATTCCCACTGGAGGATCTTGGAGACAGGGACGTTATCGAGGTAACCGTTGACACCAGCGAAGATCAGTGGAACCATCTCGTTGACAGCCATGGGCGAGTACTGCTTCTGCTTCAAGAGCTCGGTCAACTGTACAAATTTAGTTAGCCATCTGTAGACAGGTCACTGTGGAACCAAGACGTACGCGTTCACCACGGGCCAGAGTCTGCTTCGTGGCAGCATCCAGATCGGAACCAAACTGGGCGAAAGCAGCAACCTCACGGTATTGGGCCAAGAAAAGCTTGAGAGAACCAGCGACCTGCTTCATAGCCTTGAGCTGGGCGGAGGAGCCGACACGAGAGACGGAAAGACCGACGTTGATGGCGGGACGGATACCCTTGTAGAACAGCTCAGATTCCAAGAAGATCTGACCGTCGGTGATGGAAATAACGTTGGTGGGAATGTAGGCAGACACATCACCACCCTGGGTCTCGATGATGGGAAGGGCAGTCATGGAACCGCCACCGTGGTCCTTGTTGAGCTTGGCAGCACGCTCGAGCAGACGAGAGTGCAGGTAGAAAACGTCACCGGGGTAGGCCTCACGACCAGGAGGACGGCGAAGCAGCAGAGACATCTGGCGATATGCTACAGCCTGCTTGGACAAATCGTCGTAGATAACCAGTGCATGGCGGCCTGAATCACGAAACCACTCGGCAATACTCGCTCCTTGCAAAACAGAATTGTTAGTATGGCGTCCAGACAGAAAGAAATGTAAAAATCTCCAAGAAATAAGCAACACAGTAGTAGACAGGACGGACGCCCACCAGACGAGAAGGAGCGCTGACTAAGCAAATGGAAGGTATGTATACTGAACAGGGTGTCGGGTGGGGAAAAGGCATGAAACTCGGGGGGAAAAGCGCCCACTGGGCGAACCACATCGTGAAATCATGGGGGAAGAAGGTAGACTCAAGAAAAGTTGAGAAAACGAACCGGTAAAAGGAGCGAGGTATTGGAGCTTTTTGTAGATACTAGTATCAGCATTGGCGATTCACATTGACAAGCTTAGCCTGGCTACTCACAGGTGCGGCTTCAGAAGCAGTGGCGGCAACGATAATGCTGTACTTCATGGCGTCGTTCTCCTCGAGTGTCTTGACGAGCTGAGCAACAGTGGATCGCTTCTGACCAACGGCAACGTAGACACAGTACAGCTTCTTGGATTCGTCACTGCCGCTATTCCATCGCTTCTGGTTGAGAATGGTGTCGAGACCGACGGCAGTCTTGCCGGTCTGACGGTCACCAATGATCAACTCACGCTGACCACGGCCAATGGGAACCATGGCATCGACGGACTTGAAGCCAGTCTGGACAGGTTCATTGACAGACTTGCGGGGCAAAATGCCGGGAGCCTTGAGCTGCGCACGGCGACGCTCCTTGGTGTTAAGAGGACCCTTGCCGTCAATGGGGTTACCAAGAGCATCAACAACACGACCCAGCAGCTCAGGGCCCACGGGGACATCAACCTAAACAACGCATGTTAATACATATAGATGTCAAAGATTGGCACGTCGCCTGCAAACTTACAATGGCACCAGTACGCTTGACAGCTTCACCCTCCTTGACGAGACGATCGGAACCGAACAGCACAACACCGACCTGACCGGCCTCAAGGTTCATGCACATGCCCTTGACACCAGAGGCGAACCTGGGAGGCAAGGGACGTTAGAAGTAATACAGATATAGAAGTCATGACCCAGAGGCAGACCAAACTAGGGACAAGAGGGATGAAACGTACTCAACCAGCTCCTCGGCCTGGACATTGGCAAGACCATGGACACGAGCAATACCGTCACTAAATGTTGTCTGTCAGCAACCGCGTACATATTTGATGCGCCAATTCCTCGGCCCTCATAGAGAACGTCCTCATGGAGGATGCTCTCGTGGAGAATGTTCTTATTTCAAGCAATGTTGTGGTGTATCCGATGGCCCGGAGTTGGCCGTTTTGATGCTGTAGAGCTCCACATACCCGACGGAAAGGACACGGCCAGTCTCAGCGAGGCCAGACTCCTCCTGGACGCCACGGATGCGCTGCTCGAGGATCGAGGAGACCTCAGTTGGTGAAGCCTTGTCGGCGTAGGATCGAGCCTGCAGACCGGTGACGACGACGGGTGCGGCATTTCGCACCTAGAATAACAAGTTAGCCGAAAGCCCAGCAAACTGCTCAAATCGAGCCAGCACCACCGCCAGCGCCTCGAAGACCTCAAAAATCGTGCAACGTTTGCCCGCCTTCCCAATTGAGCTCCTCGTAGGGCCTTCTCGATGGATGCGGACGGTTTTCGATGGCATTGGCGGTCGGGTTGGGTCTGAGGAGAAGGACTCACCGCGGCGACTCTGCCGGCAGCAGAGACGGCGCCCACGGCACGCGTGGATTGTCGGAGAGCGTTCCGGAACATATTAAAGGGGGTATGTGAGGATGCAGATGAAAGAGGAGCAATTGCAGCAACGTGCAATTGGGAGAGGGGAGATTGGAGGTTGCGATGCTGCCTTTTGCAGGAGAGCAAATGGAGATTTTCGGGAGGACAAGTGATGAGAGCAGAGTCTGTGAGGGAGCGGGTGGAGCACAGTTGGCCCGGTCACCCAATTAAAGGCTGGTGCGCGGTTTTGCCTGCAAATTCCGAGGTTGCCTTAACAATTTCCCCCTTCCGGGTTCGAGCCTCAGGTATCAGCCACCGGCGGTGCCTGGCTTCTGACTTGTGCGGCTCGGTCATGCGGTTCGGGCTGGATACTTATGTACTTAGAAGTAGGCTACTAGGATTACAGTGGGAGGCAAGAAGTCTGGTTAACCAGATCAGGTACGTAGTACTTACCTAAGTACTGGGTAGCTATCGCGCTTTATACTATATTATATTACAATATATTAGTGTACACGTCTTAATAGGCAAATATATTTATCCACAAGCTGTAAATAGCTGGGCTGAGAGCGCCATGGTATCGAGAATAAGGGGAGGTGCAGGTTCTTCCTTAACAACCGCTTCAGTCGTCCCAGCCCGTCATAATACCAGCACCAGTAACTTATAGCAGAATATATTTGCTCACCGAGAAGTATACACAAATATACGATAATGTATGATAATATAGCGCGTGATATTCAGGTACTTGATTTAATTAAATACTTTTTGCCTCCCACTGCACATCGGTAATCCACGTCATCGCGACACCCATCCATCATGCCGCCGCTCCAGCACTGATGCTCGCCTGAATCTCCTTCTGGTATTGCCTTACAAACGACGTTACCGCCATTATCGCAAACGCATTGCCCAGCTCGCCCGTGACGCCACTATTTGTAAATTTAAAGCTGCTCCCTTGTTCACAGTCCATCTGAGCTTTGTCCAGCTCCATACTGCCACAATCTCATCGCCATGATTCAGGCGGACTAGCTTCCATCCACGAGACATCTCACCAAGCTCCTTGACCTCCTCGGTCTTGCTGCTTCGCCATTCGAATTTCTCGGGATACCCATTCTCGCCCACCGACACCGCAAAGGTATAAGCAAAGTTCATACCGTTGAGGTGACAACGGATTTCTTCCTTGATGAGCCCCTGGCCGGGTTCCTTGGGCGGTAGTCGGACTTCGTCAAACGTCCCCATTTTGTTCCCATACTTCACCGCAGCCAGCGGGTCCGAATCGGTGTCCGGGCCGCTGTACAATATCAAGTCGCCGTACCATCCTCCTGGCAGAGATATAATGTTGGAGGGTTCATTCTTGTGTTCGCCAATGACGAATTTCAATCCGTGGTGCATGGACTCGTAGTAGAGGTTGAAGGACTTGTTGAAGTTGGTCTTGCCCAACGACGAGCTGAGCAGCCGACCCTCAATTTGCTTGGATTCGGCAGAGCCCATTGCGACGTGTATACTCACCAGTTATCTTAACCTCGGGTATATAATGTAATGTACGCGACACTTCATGAGATGGATTCAAAAGATCAGGTGGTGAAAACTAGATTTCCAAGTACTACTACGAGTGTTGCGTTGTATTGATGTAGACATATCAGACAAAACCACTGATGGCAGCAACACACAGTATTTATATGCAACGCCAGATCGACGTCAATGAACCTTTCGATGATGATCAAATCTCACCATTCATCAGCTTGCCCTGCGCCATGGGAGTATTGGCCCATTGCGAGCATTTGGCTCAGCTCCTTCTCCACCCAGCGCTGTGGACTTCCGTTTTGGGCATTGAAGACGAAAAAAAATCGCAACATCGTAAGCTGTGAGGATAATAACTAATATTACTGCCACCGTGGCTGCTTACAAGTAGATGGCCTGCTAGGCCGATGGAACAAGTACGATACAGAGTATTGCTACCACAGCTTATTTTGGCAGAGGCAATGCCGGTACACCAGTCTGGAGGCACGCGAATAACAAGGAAATTCTTCATTATGGAGGTGAGACGTCACATTCCGAGACAAGTCATCGTAGAAGCCGGCATGGGCGCCGGTCGGTCTCTAAGGCCGTAAGCTCGACTCTATTCGTCGAGCAGATGCAACAAAGACAAGAGCAAATACATTGACCGCATCGTCCCATTTTTGTTTCCCTAAAATGTTCGCCATGACATCCATAAAGACAAGATACCCCCATGCTCCAGTGTCCTAGAATTTATCGGACAATACCATCGAATCTCTGCTTGAACCACTTGACGGTCTCCTCGCGCTTGATGCGATGGCTAGCACCAATTCTGCTCTTCATACGGCGGCGGCGAGTGACACGCTCACCGGGGCGGGTCATGCAGCAGTAGAAGTCCATACCATAGATACCGATGGAAGGGTCGTACTTGATGCCAAGATCGATGTGCTCGCTGATACCGAAGCCGAAGTTGCCAGTCTCAGAAAAGTTGCGCTTGCGCAGCTCGTACTCCTTGACCTTGAGGCCACGCTCGAGAATTTCCTCAGCCTGCCATTTATGTTAGATTACTCAAGTGACTTGGCGCTTCGGTGCTCAATGAGAAAATTGTTTTACCTTGGGGCCACGGACGGTGACGTGGACAGCAATCTTTTCGTTACGTCGAATACCAAAAGTACGGACGGTGTAACGGGCCTTGCCTGTGGTAAAAAGAATCCCGTTAGGTGACGCCAGATTCAATTTCAAGATAGTTGGCTGTGAGGTGATTTTTACATACTGTAGACCGGGGTCTGACCAGACAACTGCTCAAGCACCTTGGCGGCACGGGTCAGTCTGTCACCAGACTCGCCGACAGAGATGTTCAGAACGAGCTTCTGAATCTTGAGCTCCCGCATGGGGTTGTTAGCCTTCTCGGACGCCATTGTTGCGATTGTTGTCGACGGGTATCGTTGCTTCGTGGAAGTTCGAGAGTTGGCGAATGGGCGGGTCACGAAATTTTGTGAGCCCAAGGAAATTTCGAGGGTTTGGCTGCCCTCAAGCGAGGCGACCGGGAAAAGTGGGTTGTTATCCTGAATATGGCTTAGCGTAAGATGGTACATTGGGCTTGTACCCCCATCCTGGACTTTCAGCCTTCTCTGGTGAGGCTCCGCAAAATTTGGAGGTCCAACACCATCCTCACCTCCCAGCACGCGCCAGCGAGTGAGTGAGTTGCAGTCATCGCGGTCGCGTACGAGCTCCGCGGACAGCTTCCAATTTTTTGAAACACTGAGAAGCTGTATTCGCAGGCTCTCAATCAACCGTCAAGATGTCGAACAAACAAGGAAAGATGGTATGCCCCCCCCCGTCAAACGACCCCATCTGCCGCTACCATCGGTGTGGTCATGATACTAACAGTTGGATATCGAACTAGGCCGGTTACGTATGCGTCCCTGCTTTGATGCCATCTAACCAGCATCTACTCAACGACCAAAGCGTGCTGACTTGCCGTGTTTAGATTAACTGGCGAATGCGCGTCATTCTGAACGACGGCCGTGCCATGACGGGTCAGATGCTTGCATTTGACAAGGTTTGCGAAGCTCATTCGACGTTTTACGACAAAGAAGAAAAAAGAATTGGTCTAATAGTGGGATAGCACATGAACCTCGTTCTCGCCGATACCGAAGAATTCCGACGCGTGAAGAGAAAGGCCAACAAGCCGTCCGCACCCGGGTCATCATCCCAGGTTGTCGAGACTGAAGAAAAGAGGACTCTTGGTCTAACCATTGTTCGCGGCGCCCACATTGTCTCCCTTTCCGTCGAGTCTCCTCCCCCAGCCGATCCCAGTGCTAGACTTGGAAAGAGTGCTCCGAGCGGTATTCCATCAACCCTCACAGCTGGACCTGGAGTCGCCAAACCCGCTGGTCGTGGTGCCCCCCCTCCATCTTTGGCTGTAAGAATTCCCCAGCTGTCAATGTATTATTGCCTGGTATACTAATTATTATGTTTCATAGGGTCCCGCTGCTGGAGTTGGTGGCGGCGCTCCGCCTCCAGGCTTCCCCGGTTTCCCAGGAGCTCCTGGCTTTCCAGGAGCCGGACGAGGTGGTAAGTTCAATCACGCCGATCAAAGATGTCAACGACGGTCTAACTGGCTTCAAGCTCCTCCACCGGGTTTCCCTGGAGGTTTCGCTCCCCCGCCCGGTAGTTTCCCCGGAAATGCACAGTTCCCTCCCCCAGGGTTCAACCCACCGGGCGGTGGCCCTCCTGGATTCAACCCACCTCCACGAAGATAGAAGAACGTTCTTGGCGCTTGACAATTGGGGATTTCATCACTTTTCAAAACAAATTACGACGCTTTCGTCTCTGGCGAAGAAACGGTTATGGTGTAGATCAGGAAAGCCTGCGTTTGCAAGAGTATGACAATTTTTTTCTAAATGAGGATCGTACGGTATCAAAAATGTATGTGACATCTCATGGCATCATTGGGTTTCTTAAGGTCTCTGTTGACACGATGGACTAAGAATACCTGGTCAATGCAGAATGGCCTCGGATAATCACCATGTGATGTATGGCCGTGTCAGGCTGATGGGCGAGTTATGCGATGTACGGACTGCTCAGTACCAGGCATGTCATTCTCCATGGTCAACGTTACTGAATGCTCGACTGAAGCGAGTCTCACAATTCTGTTCCAAATAGGCTATGAGCAAGCACCTCTTCTGGTGTACGATCCGTGGTGAAAAATTACGTGATAAAATTATTGAGGTGCTACGTACGTTGTATTGCTAAACAGCAGGTGTATCCATAACGAAATCCGTCGCTATCAAGACCCTTCCAAATCCCAGCAAGCCCTCTCTTCTCTACAAGCCATCACTTATATCCCAGCAACATGACTAAATACCCTCGTAGCAAGCTGGCTAAGCAGTCTCGCCCTGTCGTCCTGCGGGAGCGCCTAGACAAACAAGGATCAATCAGCACATCTCACCATCAAAGCCGTCAAGCGCAAGCTTACCGAATACACCTCATATACACTCTTTCCCTTGGCGTCCCTCACCGCCCCAAGCCTGTTCCCCGCCACCGCACCGGCCAACATGCCCGGGAAGTTGGCGATGATGAAGCCCAACGCAGCGCCGCTGAGGCCCCCAATCAAACTCCAGAACTTGCTCGTCGGCGCACTCGACCCCTCCTCCGCCATGCCCTCTTCCCGCATCATCTCCTCGAAAACGTCGCTGAACTGGGCATCTTCCGTCCGCTCCCGCTCGGCGGTGTTCGCGGTCCCGGCGGCATGGCTGTTGAAGAAGTTCCAAGCCCACGAGTATGCGCCCTGGGCGGTAGCTCCCGGCTGATGTGGAATCTCCTCGTCGGCTTCTTCGAAGGGGTTCGCTTCCGCGGCTGAAGGCGGGAAGAGCTTGCGCTGGGCGTCGTAGTCTCTGCGGCGGGTGGCATCGGAGAGGGTGTAGTAGGCGTCGTTGACGAGTTGGAACCTGCGGGTGCGGGCGTCGCGCTCTGGGGAGTCGGCTGGGACACGGTCTGGGTGGGTTTTCAACGCGGCGCTGGGGAGCAGCAGATTGTTAGCTGGGGTGTTGCTGCTTTTGCAAAGCGATTCGAGGCGCGGAGGGACTTGGGAAGACTTGCCGCTTGTAGGCGTTGCGTATTTCTTGTGTCGTAGCCTTTTCTGTGACTTCCAGAACCGCATCTTGGATGGCTGTTAGACTGGACTTTTTGAGTGGTGTTGGTGGGTGTGGACGTTTACAGTAATTTGGTGGTGGTCCTCTCGACATTGTTGCCTGATAGTATGATACTTGGGGGATTCGTTACGAGTCGTTGCCAGATGAACCGAGTTCGGTGTGATTAGTGTATTCTGAGAAATGGGATGAACGTGGTTCACTATTAGCATGTGTGCCCGGAGGTCACCAACGTCATCGTGGCGGATCCTGGATGTACCCCACGCTAGTTAGGCGTTGAGCTCGGCCGTGATCAGTCACTTGACGCCGTTGAACGCTGCTTGCTAGCAGCCCAGTAGTTAATGCATCGAGATCTGAAATACACGGCAACTGTTTTTTTTCCCTTGTTTAAATACATGCCCTCAAACGCCCAATACAATGACTCAAGTACACTCGACTTCCCCTTGACCGAGATACTGTTCTGCTCTTGATATCGCGTCATTCACAATCTGGCTCGCAGCGCCACCTCTTCCCGTCCTCTGGTAGTGCCCGGCAAACACCCACATGTCTCGTATGACCCGCAAGTCGGAGCCCGTTCCGTGGGCAGCCTCTCTCTTCTCGACTGCATATCTGAGATTCTCTTCCGCCCGGGCCCAATCTCGCTCATGTTCCTGCAGCCTGGCCAGCATCTTGCGGGCATATGCATGGAACCTGGCATCGGACCGGCTTGCTTCTTTGTCAAATGATGTTTGGTTTAGCAAATCTATCGCCAGTTCTTCTGCTTTGTGTCTATCGCCGAGATCCATCTGAGTGTACTCCAACATGAGGGCCATGATTCGCAATCTATCCAACTTGGACACTCGAGGATCCATGTCGGCAAGTTGGTATAGGCCTGTCAACGCAGCCACCATTGTCTCTCTTTTCTTTGCCAGTTCACAATCCCTGCGTAGACTTGTTCTGCCATCCCATATCAGTTGCTCGTAGAGCCAGAGATGTGTTGGCGCCAGGGAGCCGATATGGTCGCTGAGAATGTCCACATTTTGTAGCCAGGCTGACCGCAAGAGATGGCATACCTGCTCCCTTCCCAACTGGGTCTGATAGTCGCACTTTGTGAGCTGCTGGAGGATTTTCACAAGAGGGTGCTCCTGTGGAAGACGTCTTGTTGAAAGCTCTCTTGCATGAGTGAGAAACATGCCCAGAAGTTGAATATGGCCCCTGTCTACCATGTCGTAAACCGTATCCAGTATATGCCATACAAGGTCTGGATGATCTGCCGTGAGGACAAACTCAAGACTATAGAAGGCCCTCCTCGCCGCCATGCCGGCCAGCTGGCCCTTTCCGTGATGCCACAGGTCAAATACCAGCTCAAAAGTGCGGTACATTGTCCGGCTATCCTGAATGGGTGGCTGGGTCGGATTCGCGAGATACCGCACCATGGGATCCAGTGCATCACCTCTGGATTCCAGTTTACATAGGCTCCAAGAACGGACACTGTCGAGGACCAACTCAAGACCTGCAAAAGGGCCAAGCCTGGTGGTGCGTGCCATGGTCGTGCAAGCTGGCTGCGGCATGCGATCTGGCGTTTGACGTAGCACCTCGGCACCCGATTTGCTCGAGCCGGCATTGTCTGACGCTGATGCCGCGGTGGAGGCCACAGCACTTTCTGAAGCCGTGCGGTACGCTCTTTTGCGCAAGTTCCACTTCTTCAACCGCTTTTTATACATTTGTTCTCTTGGTTCGAGTTAGCGGCGAGCCGTATAATAGCAACCCAAAATTATTTGTTACTTACGTTGCAGCAAACCCATGTTTGGACGTCATGATGGCCATAGTATCAACCAGCCTTCGGTTTTCACTGATGTAGAGATGCTCAATGAGCCCCCGCTGGACTTCCCATTCTCGCTCCGTGTGCTCTTTGGGGTTGAGTTTACCTGCGTTTAGTGGCACCTCTCCAGATGGCCTGGGGGCCAGCTTGGGTAGTTGTGACATGGCGGCCGACGGTGCGATGGGATCTGGGTGATGGACACCGTATCCAAGCCACCCAGCATCAGAACGAGCTGCGCCACTTGAGATGCAGACCTCGAGCCAGTTTCGAAGACTTCACAATTCATGGTAGCCTAGTTGGGGTGAGCCAACAAGTTTCATGAGTGATTGACAAGGGCGATGCGTGCTTCTGTAGTGAAGTCTGGTGCTGCCCAAGCATGTCGATAGTTGGACGTTCATGTTGCCTGCAGCTACGGAGCCATTCTGGCCAATGGCGGGTCTCGTATCCGAAATGTGTGCGGGCCAAGGCCGCCGTGATGAAGCCAGCTTCAGTTGTCTTCATGATGGTAATGCCAGGGCTCTGCATGAAGTTTTCCCTGTACAACGCCCACAAATCAAAAATCACTTGTCGGGTTGCACTTGATTTCCAAAAGGCAGAAACCCAGATTCGAGACAACAAGTCAAATCTACTCTATCTACTCCGTAGCACGTTTCAAAGAACAATCAAGACGAGTGCAAGCCGTATTCCACAACACCTACCCTGCACGGGTGGGCCCGCTGACTCAGCAAACCTCCACGCAGCCCCAGCCCATAAAATTTTCGTCGCAGCGCAGAACTTTACTTTTGTTTTTCTCTTTTCTTCCTCGTGCGGCAGGCATGATATGAAGTTTTATCCCGTGTTGCTCGAGTCCTCTACCATGGATAAATCGCAGCGTCAATCATGCCCAAGATGAATCATAATTGCAGGCCGGCTTCTTTGCTATTGGTGCAGGTGCTTTTACCACTTGGATCGCAACATGGAGGCTGGACATACTTTCGCACCGAGACTTGATGGGTGACAAGAGAGGCCAGGAGATTGCGGTTCTCAGATCGCGTCGCCTACGTAAAAGCAACACTATGGACTGGATATATGTCAGGTCGTGGGATACTTATTGAATTGCCTCTTGTTTTTCTATCCGTGACCGTAACTCCGGCTTGTGATAATGCGCTTCTTGGCTGCCCACGTTGGCGTTGTTTTTCCTCAAGTCATCCTGTCATATCATCATTGAGACCTCGCAGTAGGTGGGCGTGTGCTTGTGGTGCTTTTATTCATCATCCCCTACTTTCTGGAGCTTGCCCATCTCGCGTTTGGTACCGGCTTCGCCAATGAGCTTGATCCGGTCAAGTCGTACGGCGTCAGCGCCTTCCTCGCCCTTTTGCACATACAGAATCAGGGTGGTTGTCTTTTGGAACTTGACGAAGCGCAAGCTGATGTTCGCGGTGCCTTCGGCGTTCCAATCCTTGGAAGTCAGCGTAATAGCCTGAGTCGGCTCAGTATCGTCGGCTTCACTGAAGTCCATGTGTTGCGGCTGGTTGATGTATAGGTGAATAACCACGGGTCTCGAGACGTTATCTTGGTCCTTGGGAGGGAGAGACGTAATCTGTGCGCTCCACTTAGTTTCACTGCTGGCAAGCTGTGGCAAACGTCTTGGCTCACCTGCAATGTGTGAAGTTTGACGGAACCTTGGAAAGGGATGAAGAGAAGAAGCTGGTCATCCGCGCCACTCTGGACAAAGTCCCTGACATTGACAGGATTGCTGTCGTTGCTCAAAGCGCTGGGCTTCGTGACGTCGAACAGAACCTTGACCGGTCCCGCATCTTCGTCGGCATTCGAGAGCTCGCAATTGCGTATCTCTACTTGGTCAGAAATATCACTATATCCTCTGGGAATCTCTGCGCCGGCCCATGAACCACTACTGCCGCTCCCGCTACCAGATGATTCGCCGGCAGACTCAAGCTCAGAAGCCAGTTTCTGGATAATGCGTCTCAGCTCGGTGGGATTCGCGCCCTTGACCGATTGGATCACCTTGCCCTCCTGGAACAATAAGAAGGTTGGTAGCGCCGTAATCTGATATTCCTCAGAAAGGGCTTGGACCTTTTCGGTATCGATCTTGACGAATGTAAGGAGTTTCGGCCGGGAAAGCGATTTTGACAATGCCTCATACACTGGCGCGATTTGTTGACAAGGACCGCACCAGACCGCGAAGACTATGGAGGAAACAGGGTCAGCATGAGGGGGAAGATGCAGGGAAACTCAAGTAGACAACGAGGCTTGCAATATCTATCCGATCTGAAGAACTGCTCGCGATCACCAAGCAACAACCATCTTTGGTGGCGGGGTCGAGCCGAGGCGACAGCTTAGGCAATGAATGGATCTGGATGGACCAGTTACTCACAGTCGGCGACGACGAGTTTTGAGCTCTTTAGAATGCCATCGAACTGCTCCTTGGAGGATATTTGCACAGGCGCTTGCGACATTGTTCTTAGGGCCAACAGTGCAGAAGATGCTGCTGTGTCTCTGTCTGTATTGTCGAGTGTGGAGAATGCTGGGACGGTGAAGGATGTCGTGAAAGCGTCAAAGGTTCAATGTTGCTGATGCGAGCTGGAACATTGAATTTAGGCAACCAGGGACGCACGCCCCGTTGCTGAGACGCCCCAGCCTACGGAGTACCAAGGCGGCCTACCAAGGCAGCCTACCTAGGTACCTAGGTACTTAAGACTAAGGTGTATTCTACTTTAGTAGGTACCTACCTAGGTAGGTACCTAGGTACTTAAGTTAGGTACGTACCTTAGCGCGCTAAGGGGTTTTCTGGTGACTATTCTTTAACTATCATTTGTTATAAGATAAATCTTAACTTATTATTAATTATTAAAAGTCTTATACAATAAAGCCAAGTGTCACGGTTTCGACCGCTAAACTCGGCGACAATTGACGCCGCTTTTGGCGGCATCGACCGGTGCCCCCTACTGGGGGTTGTCATCACCAGAGATGGATGTCAGAAACAGTAAGACCAGAGCTGACGTTCGGTAGCTAGTTCGGTGTCAAAATCTCCATAGCGTTTGAAAACCATATCAGTAATCTTCAGCCACCGCTGGTGGAGCTTTGTGATAAAATGGGCCTTGGTGTAATCCCAGTATTCCGGGTACCATCCAGAGTTTTCCCAATCAACGATCCCTGAAAGCTTTCCATTATACATTAGAATATTTCGCATATTTAGGTCCCCGTGCGTAAATACGATTTGATGTCCGCTGTAGTGTGAAACATGTGGCAGTGCGCCAACTCGGAGAATGTTGTTAAACTCTTCCTCATTTATAAATGGTCCAATAAAATCCCCCCGATCGTTGTTGAAGTCTAACCCTGCGTTGATTCTGTAGTCATAACATGCCTTGCCGAGGGTACTGGTGATGGCATATTTTGGTGCAACCACCTTTGGTATTGCCCGTAACTCCTTAAGACTTTTCTGTAGGTCGTAAACCAGAGCTGTCTCCTCGTTATCGCTGAGCGTATCAATGCACATCCCCAGGGGGATGCCACTGACTCTGCTGGTCAGAAGGTAAGATTCCTCTGAGTTTGAGACAAGATCCAATGCGCGCGGGACCGGTATATGCGTATGGCGCCTTACGAGCTGTATTGTTTCATACTCATTGGCCAAGCTTTCGTGATATTCCACACTTGCAATCTTGACATACATACCGAGCGGAAGTCGTTGAACCTTCAAGCTACAAGATGGACCATACATATGTGCCCCCAGAAACGCGAGACCATGGTACGCGCTTATGCGGATAGAGGCTGGTACCAACCGCCAGGCCACTAATACGGCTGCAGCACCACGTCCCAAGAAGCAGCGCCATAGCGAAGCTGACGGCAGATTGGGGACTGTCCTGGGACTCTTATTTGCGATTTCTTGCGCGACCAGGCTCCACCGAATAGGTTTCGCGAATCGTGATAAAATTTGCAGTGCAGAGGCGTCTGGAGTATCCACACAGGAAACGGACTGGTTAGTAAAACAGTCACTTCGAAGCACTGGAGTCTTCTCTATAATAGAGGGCCAAGTTGGACCTCCAATTCTGACAACAGTAACACGATACTGGACCTATGTAAGTGCGGGTAACTTAAACAGTTGGATATATGAGTAAGGACAAAGACACACCCACCTCTGATCGTTTGCCGAGTGCGAACTGAAAGAATCCTTCCGATAGCGCCGCTGCCGCAGATTTACGCACAAGCCAATGACTCCGATAGGTATTCAAAAAGACTGCTTTCGATAGCACCCAGTCCCGCAAGTCAGATCCGATGAAAGCACCGAGGACAGCCTTATCAGCTAAATATAAAAATAAAGGTTGATAAAGACAGAACTACCTCGTTGACTTGGATCTTCCTAGCTGGAGCTGGAAGTAGAGGGGCGACGACTAGCGGATCCCAGAGAGAGTTGCCTAGTCCGGTGATGCAACACCTGCTACGGTCTCTCTTGATGATGTTGGCAATGACGGCTTTGTCATGAAGTTGGTAGGTTTGGCCTTTATAAGCAACTGCTGATCATTAGTGCGGCCCTACCTGAAACTTCGTCGGACGTACACATATTGATCAACTGTTTCCAATCGGACAAAAAGGGTTCCAGATCAGGGCCCTCTCCTCCAAGGAAACATTTTTGAAGTATGTAGCGAGCGGCTTGCATAGGGTCTATTGAGTCCTGAAGGAAGCATTCTAGTAACTGTCCGTCTGGGTGCGGAAGGTCGACGCTCCGTACGAACTTCAGCGCCAGTTCGAATTCGCTTGTGGTATGCGCCATGGTATGACGTATCGTGGCGTTAAGGTCAACTCAGTACATCCAAAATATATACATATATATATATATATATATATACTGAGAGACAAGTATTGCTTGTGTCAGGGGGGCTGGAAAGCGAAGGGCGACACCTCTATTTGAAGCACAGTGGACGGACGGATTAACCCTCGCACCCGAAACCTTACGTTACCTGTAAGGCATCCCACGAGGAAGACCACATGCACCTGTACTGCGCTAGAATAGCGCGCTAAGGTAGGTACCTAGGTAGGTAGTTTAGCCCTAGGAACATTGAATGCGGCAGTAAATTTCAGTGACTTGAAAGACTGGGAGCGATACCAACGTTATCTTGTTCCTTCTTTCCTGTTTGGTGCGTGACTTCCATCAAGCACATACGAATATTTACACAAAGTCCAGATGTCACCACCATACGTCCGAAGCGCCCTATTGTATCACCCACGCAAGCGTTGGACAATGCACACACCCATGGCGGCAAACACACACACAAGCGTTTGGATTGCTGCCTTCACCTTTCTCTCACTTTTTGTTCAATATGAGTCTGGAGAATGAAGCCAAGAGAGGGGAAAAGAGGGAGCCCCCGGATATTTTTGCCGGGAACCAAAGACGTTGCTCTCCTTCATACACTCTGTACTCATCCTATTCTTCTTCCTCATTACTTCTTAAGTCATCAACATCATACGCGCAGGCACTTTTCCACCTCTTGTTCCAAACTGTCATCATACAACCAAACACAGTCTACAAGGCCGGCCAACGTTCAAGGGACCCAGGGCGCTCAATATGTCCTCGTAATCGTTTATGCTCCTAATTTTACTCATCTGGCCTACCTTGCCCTCCCCCCCGGCCGTTACAAAGACACGAGACAATGACTCGCGCCCCATTAGACGGAAGGCCAAGACAGCTAGAAAGGCCACCTTTACGGGCACATCACCAGAGCAGAAACAAGACAAACACATCGTATATGGATCATCTACGTCCTGCTTCCCCTCCCAAAACAAATCCCTGGGTGAAGAGGCCATCTGCTGCTTCACTTGCGCCAGATTGGCCTCGAAATACTGCCGATTTTAGCAAAGATAATGAGGGACCGGCGGAAGAAAAGGCAATATCTCGAAGCGTGAAATTCATTTGTTCTACCGATGGCAAGGATTCGGATGCTGTCTCGCCATCAAAGAAGCTTCTCAGAGCGGCGGCGCCTCGGGCTTGTGCCAGGTTTGCATAGGGCTGGATCGTCGCTAAACATGGAGTACATCCACTGACAAAAGGTTCTAATAGGTTGTGGCTACGGCCATTTGGCGCCGACGTCTTCGTCTGGGCTGGGCGCGAGGTTTTTGAAGTACACCGTAGCATCGTGGAGTCGCGGTCGGTATGGCTTAGACAAAACCTCCCACCCGCAAACAAGGTAGGATGAAATATTGAGATATACAGAAAATTTACGGGCTGTAATGGACTGACAATAATCAGAAAGGGACGCCGACCGATGTGCGCTTGCCTTTTTGCCCTCAAGTCGTGGGATACACGTTGCGATTCATGTACACCGAAAGTACGTCTTGTTTTCCTCGTAGTGCAATGCAAATGCTGATTAAAGACTGTATACAGGCCTTGAAATATTAGAATACGACCGGGAGAATCTTTGTGATCTGATTTGTATACCACGTAGCGCATTGCTGTACGTTGGCGCCGTAGACCTTGGAGTCGAAGCGATGAAAGATCATATTGCAAAGGTCCTTGAACAGATGACTCAAGACCTGGCGTGTTACCTGACGAAGACATTTGTAAACAAAACGATGGAACATACGGAGGTTGTTGCAGCGGTTTTTCACCTTCGAAACGCACTAGAAGTTGCATATTCACACGAGTCACAAGCAGAAACTCTATGCCTCCGGCGCCGTCTGGCCAGTCTATTGGATATTTTGTTTCCCGTTCTCATCCCACACCCGCAATTTGTCGACTTGCTTTCAGACAAGATTTGGAAAGAGCATTCGGAAGCTATATCGCACGATCTTGTTTATGCGCGACGAGCGAAGGAGCGTTAGGGCAGCACCTTGGAAATCGGTGTAGGTTGCTTCCTGAATTTGATATTGCAAGTGGTTGGGCGTGGTTTGGGAGAATGGTAGTGCACACTTCACAGCACCTTCAGCTAAATGCTACGCGAGATACTACTCCTCCGAATCACGATTATGAATACAATAAGGTGTCTCTTTAGCCATTCAGTGGCACCGGGTCGGAATCAATTGCCGCGATTCTGCATTGGTATTCGATGAAGAGACGACCACCAGGCATCGAGTGCAACAGAGCATTATAACGGTATTGCTATTGCACCAGAAGCTGCCATTATGTATCGAATGGGGAGGAGAAGAAAGCTGGCAGTTTTTCCAGCCATTGATGTCGGGCTCTTCGGGAGGTGATATTTACGATCTGGAGTCTTCAAAGTTTCGGTGCCGCAGAGTGAGGGCCGCATCCTCCTTCGTTCCGTGAGGTGATACGGAGGTTTTCGCCTAAGCTACAGTATGTGGTAGAATTTATATTTGCACATCAAGAAGTATACACGTTTATATTCGGTTATACGCTGCTCTGGATTGGTCACTACATGTGTCCCATTCTTGGTTTGTCAGGAGTGGTGGTTTGCCTTGGCCAAGCACAAACTCCATGGTAGCTCAAATGAGAGCATTCAGACTCCTGCTATTCGCCGCTCGTTTTCGAAAAAAGTCGTAAATGAATAAATACGAACATATGAAAACACACGTTCGCCTTCGATATGATGCGGAAGTTATTACGGAAAAGAGAGCAACAGGCTAGCGTTTGTCTTGGAGTTGCGAGTGAGGAAAAGTGAATTGACAAACTCGCAACGGCGAGAGGTGTTAAGTCACCCCGCTGCTAGTCCGACAATGCCTCTTGTCCTTCTTAAACTCATTGTCAACTTATAACTTTGGGTAGATGTGCGAGAATGGTGCCGACGACGGATCTGGGGCATGGCGTGACCGGGTGTACTGGCGAATCTTCAGAGAATAAACTGCTATGCGGCCCATCTCAACCGACTCTACTAATGATGGGATTTGGGGACGAGGGAGAATCGTTGGAAAATGAGACTGGTCGGCTTGTATCATTAGAAGAAATAACTACCTGGGTAGTTTACATGGTATTCTATGGGACGTGTAAGTCGTAGATACAATCGTGAAGTGTTGTCGCGCCCAACGGTGGACAGACGAGAGCCGATTTAATGATTCATATGGGGATTCCAAATTTAAGGCTTACCAGACTGCAGCTTGACCTCCCAGCTAGACAAAGCCGCGCTGGCTGGCAAAATATTGAAACTTGAAGCCCACCGCGGGGGGCTCCAGGCAGGGCAGCTTTGCTTACGCCCGTTGATTGATGCCAAGGACTCAGTAGTCACAGAGGGAGGCAAAAAGTATTTGTCTAGATTAGGTACCTAGCTATCGCGATCTATATTATAATATAGTAGTATGTACTTCTCAATGGGTAATTATATCCTGCCACAAACTATAGAAAGACCGGGGTTAGAGTGTACGTGGTTGTGACATCATGAGCCAATCAGGCTATTATTTATGTGCACCTCACTTCCTGTCTGGCGGCGTCATTTTCTCATTTCCCACACCCATCCTCAATTGAATCCTCTCTCCAGCAATTCCCAAAGCCCCTTCAAAACAACGCATGGTATGTTTTCCGAAGCTTGCTCAAGGGTCAATGTCACTAAAAACGTCATCAGACAATTGATTACTGTCCGCGGGCTTCAACGTCACACCCACTGTGCATTCTCCGTGATCTCACCTCCCCAAGAGACTTTACCCAAAACTTATCGACAGCGATAGCCTCGCAGCATTTCTGCCATGGTTACCGCAGATAACGGGCCTGAAATGTCCGCCACGACAAGAGGTATCCTGAACAAGGTGCGGCACATGGTTCCTCCAATGCTGGACAAGTTCCACAAAGGTACCGCCGCCCAACCCCCCCATGGCTGCCGCGCGCCGGATTTCAAGGAACGCAAAGAGTGCTGATGTCTCCGTCTCCCTAGGGCAGCTCGGAAGAGTAGCAGTCATTGGCGGGAGCCGGGACTATACCGGCGCACCGTACTTCTCCGCCATGGCGAGCGCTAGATTGGGCTGTGACATGGTGAGCCGGTTGCCTTTGCCTCGGTCAAAAGGAAGCGATTGATGTCGAGGGGATTAACACGACGGCTCTAGTCTCATGTTGTCTGCACCCCAGAAGCGGCAGCCGTCATCAAGACGTACTCTCCCAACCTGATGGTCCATCCGCTTATGCGCCAATCTCCCGATGACGAGGCGCCCGAGCCGGACCCCGACACAGTGTCCGCCGGCATCATCGAAATGCTGCCCCGTCTGCACGTCCTCGTTGTCGGACCGGGACTAGGCCGCGACCCCCTCATGCATGACACAGTATCCCGTGTAGTCCGGGCCGCCAAGGAGAAGGAAATCCCCGTCGTAATGGATGCCGACGCTCTACAAATCGTCCAGAGGGACCCCGACTTGGTCAAGGGCTACAAGGAGATCGTGCTCACCCCCAACGTGGTAGAGTTCAAACGCCTGTGGGATTCGCTAGGTCTCAAGGATCCCGGCGCCGCCAAGGAGACGGACAAAGTCGAGTCGTTGGCGAGGGCCCTGGATGGTGTGACCGTTATCCAAAAGGGACAGAAGGACTTCATCTCGAACGGCAAGGCCACGCTGGTGAATGATCTCGAGGGAGGCAGGAAGCGCAGCGGTGGGCAGGGGGACACGTTGACAGGGTCGGTGGCTACGTTTTTGGCTTGGAGGAAGGCGTATCTGGACGGGCTGTGGGATACTGCGGGTTGTGGACTGGGGGAGGATGAGTTGATGGGGTTGGCGGCGTTTGGCGGGAGTGCTATTACGAGAGTGAGTCCTTTTCATTTCCCACACGTCTGCAAGGTCGCGCGAAGCTGGTCAGCTCACACAGAGGTCCCCTGATGTGTGCCCTGTATCTACTGCAGAAGACGCCTTCCTCAACTGACTGCTGCAAGGGTGGGTGAATCTGTGTGATCAAACGCTAACCAACTTGCAGGAGTGCTCTCGTCTCGCTTTTCTCAAGAGAGGCCGAAGTCTGCAGGCCAGCGACCTCACCGACGAGGTCCACGGCGCATTCATGGGCCTGTTTGGAGAAGTTGATGGTGAGGCTGGAGGGTCGAAGCTGTAGCCGAAGCCGTCCGGTCGTGTTGACGGTGGGATTGAAACAAGAACAAGCCAAGTCGTCAGAGAAGCCAGACCTAGACACAATGACACGGCCATGATATAAACAAAACACACTCCTGCCGCAGCCCCCCGGATAGGTGCAGAGATTGACCGAGGCTAGGCAATCTGGGCAATTTTATAAGTGACAGATGCACCGCATAGAAATGCCCTTCAGAGCGAAGAAACTACAAGAGACGCATCATGGTAGGATGGGGGGCGAAACAATATTTATAAAGGACATGTACCTGGCTATCTCGGTCTATAATAGATATACTAACAGTGTATTAGTGTATACTTTACTCCTAGGCGGATACATAGTTCCCTAGACAGAGTATCGCTTGTATCTATGGTAGGTTTGGGGGACTTTTACTTTGAAAAAGATTAGAGGGCTCGACGCAGGCCTATGCGGGAGTACACTGGCATGGAAAAATGAAATAGCACGTGCGCTTCGATTTTGTTAGTTTTTAGCCAATGTTTCGCCTCTATTCCAACTGACGATATAACCATCCCTGACTTTCTTGACTTCATTTCATCAACGCTAGCGTGGATTGGTAGTTGGAGATGCTTACCCTTTGGCTTTTCGTACGTGTCACTTTTGCTGATAATATGAGCGAAAACTTGAGCTACATAGAGACGAGAGATGGATGGAGAAAGTCACGTCATTTAAAATAATGCAGGAGAGGTCTCATTGGCCAGTTACCGAATGGCACTTCGAGAGAAACTAATCAGAGGCCTAGGGACGGCCTTTTTTACCATTTCGATAAAGAGGCCGAGCTTCAAGCAGCGGCCCAACGCTTCAACTTGTTTATTAGCCCAGAGTGCGCCCCCGACTGGGTTCAGAGTCGGTCCAAATTCGCGCCTTATAATATAATATGTTACAGGATACATTGCAGATGTAAGTCATTTCTTTAGTACAGCGACATTTGGGCTGTTGGCTACTCTGTAATGTCACTCGGGGTCACCAGCTGCGCAACCATGGCTGTTCCAGGGGGGATAACACACACACACACACACACACACACACACACACACACACACACACACACACACACACACACACACACACACACACACACACACACACACACACACACACACACACGCACACACATACATATATACATACACATGGAGTGAGCACAAGTTGCGTCTCGCCATTTTGTCGTCTGTATGGTAGCATTACAGGAGCACACCAGGAACACACTCGTCTTCAGGTCCAGTTGTGGTTTCCATACCAGTCAACATCCAGGTCGAGACGCAGGGCAGCCGATTCAACAAATGGTTGCAAAATCTGACATGCCACACTTTAGGCAAAAAATAACAGCGCCCCGAACCCTCCCTTTTCCCATCCGATCATAGGTTGGCCGATCAATAAAACCTCGATCCTGCACATCTCATCCGCAGGACCCGGGATCGTCGATTTTGTCGATCTGGCGCGAAGGAACCCCGCCTCAGCTTTCCAAGGGATAGCTCGACGTGTTGTCGTGAACTGTCATATTTTGGATAACTGTGTTGCTGTGGATAGGAGTGGGCAGGGGGGTTCGGCCATCGGAAAGACGTCGTCTGGATTGGCTAGGTTCCGCTGAAGGCTGGAACGACACTGAAACTAGTGACCCTACTTCTGCACGTTGCCGCGAAGAGGTGAGCGAGGAGGGCGAAGGAGTCCACCCCATGGGGCGAGGGGTTTTGGATGGCCACGTTTGAAATGCTGCAATTGACCACTCAGGTCGGCTAAGCTGGCCGACCAGTTTCTTTCTTCGATATTAAGTTTGGAATGGAATTGCTAGTGCATATCGAAAAACTTCCCATTTTATTTCCCACACTGCTCGCTTTCTGCTGAGAGTTCCATCGTTGGTCCCGCCCGCTGCTGAAACGTTGAACGTAGCTGCATAGAGCTAGGGCTAGTGTTGCTAGCAATGGGATCGACTTCTGAGCCGTGGTGGTATTTGGGTGTGAGGACTGTGTAAGACTTTGTATGCAGGCAAACATGTATGTTTTTGGTACCGTATAGAGAACTTGTCAGGCTGCATTCGGACGAAAGGGGGGAGTGTGTGCTCCCTCACCAGGTAGATATCAACTTGCCCTACCGATTTCACCCTCTCTTTATCTGACAACATGTTCCGCCTGCCAACATATTGATTCGACCTTTACCTAGCCTTGCATGGTGAGCGAGCGAATATAGGCGTAACAAAGGAAAATGACCCTCTACCTGGAGTCGAGGTGGAAGCCATGCCAAGCCGCACCAGAAAAAGCCATGTGAGCTTCGCGACCGTGATTAGACTTGTAACTAATCTCATGCATGAAGATGCTTTTTACTACCTCGCAAGATTTTCTAGTTCTCTCTCTTGCCACTTTTCACATTTGTGTCTGCATGTACCTCCGTACGGAGTAAGGTTCCAACATCTCCGGGTTGACACAGTACAAGTTTGTGGTCGAGTCTTGTTCTGCCGCCAGCAAAAAAAAAAAAAAAAAATAAAAATAAAAAAAAAAGGAAAAGGGAAAAGAAAAAGAAATGAATTTCCCAGCACTTGCGGGGGCTATGATTCATCGGGGCCACAGGAAGCAGAGGGGATACTTTTGACAGTTCAGCTCCGATTGTCATGTAGTTGCAGATGTGTCCCCAAATTAGTTGATTCTCCGCGAGACAGAAGTGGCCAAAAGCGATCAAGACTGCATGGGCTTTTTGGTAGGAATCTCACTTTAGAAAATTTCAAAAGAGAATGCTCTGGAAACAAGAGCCAGCTTCGCGACGTATGCTCGTGGCGCCAAAGCTGTTTCCGGGGGCCCTCAGTGTGTCGTTCATTGAGGGTGAAATCACCCAGCACTACGGAGTAGTCAGCTCGTGTTAACTTAGATCTTATCTGTTGGAATGGACCACAGGAACCCGATCTGCCGTGTCCTCCCTTCCCCCAGTAGTTCTGCAAGTGCTTAGATGGTTGCATTAGTGACCCCTTGCACCACATCAGCAGCGTAGTCCGAATTCCGGGCTAGAGTAGATAAAATCAGCAGCCCACTTATCAGGGGGGAAACTGGCTTTTCTATTTCGCCGGGGGGAGAGAAGGGCGGTTTGTAGTCTGCCGTCTTGCTGGGTATCCTAGACTAGAGACGTTGCCGGACGAATCGTTCTGTCGTCGATTGTGGAATTCTATCACGTTATGCTATTATCTCGACGCAATCAGATGTAGCCAAACGCGACCTCAGAGAGAACAGTCGACCATGTACTTCGTGGCACTTATCCAAAAGCGACGGAAAAGTAATAATAACAATAATCCAATGGCCGAGTGGGGGGATGGAGCATAGCCCTGGGGCCAAGAACAAACTTTCGTGGGACACAGGATGAAAGAAGGCCAACAGTTAACTAACTTCGTGTCTTGATGGGAGCAAACACTCATCTTTTAACCCGAGAACCACCAGACTGGTTCGCATATATTTCAGGGCAACCGAGACAGCCCAGGAGAAATTACATCGTCTTGGCCAGAGCAAGCACATGTGCGTAAAAGCTTATGTATACTTACTCAGCTTGGCAGGATTGGAGCTGGTAGTTACAATAGAGACGACTGTGCACTTCGTATTCCGCGAGACCGGGCAAGGCTGCCTCGGAAACATATTACGTATAATCGTTCTCCCCTTGCCCAACCCCGAGGTGGTTCGTTATAGCCCGGTACGGTGGGGTTTTTGGATCCTCTCGTCAGTATAGCCGTCGTGCAACGACAAGGCGATAAAGGGGGGGGGGGGGCCGGGGGGCCCCCCCAGCCACAATCCATGTTGGGCTTTAGGGACTTATCCCACAGACTGGAGCGAGGCTTCAGCAAACATGTTGTAAACTGGTTTTTGGAGCTCAACTGTCCAATTTCCGACCATTAAACGAAGACTCTCCATATATTCAGAAGCCATTTGCATACGAAGTTCATGTCAATTAGCGCAGCTGCCATATTAAGAGCCAATATTGCGCTGACTGATCATGGGCGCAAATGACCCTCTCCTTGTTACCGATCACAAGTATTATGCACGCCCGTTGAGCCCGCCTTTTGCATTGAGCCACCGTGGATGAACGGGAAGAGTGGAGAATATTTTCTGGGTTGCTTTTGTTGCGAGACGATGTTTTCCTTCGGAGTTACGGAGTAACGGTGTTTGAGTCACGACCCAGCAATGAGAATAACGAGACTGTGAGTAGGTTGAGAAACACCTAGATTGTCATACTGAATTATACTGGGCGATTTATTCTAATAATGCCGGAACAATATCCAATATACCGGTCAAAGTGTGGACAAAGTCCTCCCGGATTGTCGGACGCGGCTCTCTCCCCTGTCGAACATCTGCCTGACCATTGAGCCGAGTTTCTGGTAGTTGGAGCCATGGTTCTGGGTCCGGGTAACGGGGACACAGGTCACCTGCAGAGGTGGACGAGCAAAAGATCTCGCATCATGTGCTATATGTAGCATTTACGCATAGTCCTCTGTACCTGTTGGCTCAATCGTGTACACGTCTTGCTGTCCCACGGGAGCGAAAGGCTGGGATATCACCAAAACGCGTTACGGACACTAATTGGTGGAATCAAGTCACTTTTGGTGCTTGCGGGTCAAAGTGACAGCTTTCTGACAGGGAAAGTTTGCTTTTGTGATGTCGTTGTTGGTTCCACAATGGTCTTGATTCAGAAGCGTTGCCAAGTCGCCAAGCAAAACCCACAGCCGGGGTTAGACAGCCAGACCGTAGAACCAAGCCCAAACGGAGTAGTTAAGGCCAAGGGAGAAAATATGAGAGAGAGAAGTGGGGATGTGTGTGTGTGTTCATGCGAGAAAAAAACCGATCACTGCCTGTCACCCTTAAGGGCCCTCTTGCTTCTGACTATTGTGGTGCTCTGAAAGTACTCCGTATGTACCGATTAAATGGACAATGAAAGTCAAGTTGGTCACGTTCTCTCGTCTCCTGTTTGCTGGTCAGATATCAAGCTTTTTGACACAAACA